CCTTAGTCCTTACCCTACACAAATTAAACGTAAGTACATGCATAGAATGGGAAAAGCGTATCTCGTTAGGCTGGCCACTTAGTTGGGTTTACGCAACATATATACATAGGTGTTGAGTAATAGTGTTGTTTGTCAGTGTAGAAACCCACATATACAGGCTTGGTTGCCACTCCATATTTGTTTTCTGTTTTCTTGTCTGTAATCATTCCTTGTCCCTATTAATTAGTTACCTCGCCCTTAACGCATTGTTATAACCCTTGAATGTTTTTTATGAAAAAATTGGTCTGAAAATCAAATCATCAATGGAAACTTTCCCTGTAGCAATTAAGAATGGTGAAGTGCTTTGATTAAGTGAATTTACATGATTCCTGTAATCGAGTTTTCTCATTTCAATTGATCTATGGATATTTTCTTCAATGATTAGTAGCACACATATTGATTTACTTGTAGAATCTTCATTCGATTCAAATATTATCTCATTTTTCATATATACAAAGCAGTCAAAATCGTGATTTTACCTAAAACCGAAAACTGAGGTAAAATCGGAATCATAAAATCGAATCGTAGAATCGTAGGATTTTAAGTACCATATAAAAATTAACATATAACAATATTATTAAGGTAAACCATTAATAACACAAAGACGTATAACATTTAAAGTGATAATTTTCTAGATTAATGTTCCAAAATCATCATTTTAATTGTTATTTAATGCATAACTCAAAATAATTTATGAGGAAGGGATAGAGCTCATGGGGTTTGACTCTTGTTTTTCATGTTGTGTCTAGGTAGTTTAACTCAAACTAGTATTCTGACATCGTCTACTAAGCATGATTTCAAACTAATAATAAGTGAACTCTAATAAAATAATTAATGTCATTGTTTTGGTACAAATATATTCCATAATCAATTAATTTGTTAATAATGATGTTAATTTTTACGTACTTACGAAATTATGACAACTATTTTACCGATGAGTTAAACAAGGGGAAGGGATTGACCGAACCCTAATTAGGTTAATTGTTTTCCCTTTTCAAATGTTCTTTCAATAGAAAAAATATCTTAGAAGATCCCCGTCATTTCCCTTTTCACCAAATCATAAAATCATAAAATCAAACTGCCACATAGGTTCAAAATCCTATTTTGGTACGATTTTATGATTTTAATACCGATTTTGAACGATTTTAAGGTCCACCGATTTTATAGTAAAATCAGGATCGAAATCCCTAAGTAAAATCCTAAAATCCTACAATTTTACGATTAAAATTCTGATTTTGACTGCATTGCATATATATGAACCATTAACTATCTCTTGAAATAAATGAATTTACTCGGTATAAGAATACTGAATGATTGTTCACACCTTAATCGACTTATAGCTTGGAATATGAAATTATACGTAGCGTAGTGTGTATGGTTTTTTGTCGAACTATCTTTGGTAACTTACGTAGCGTAGAATAATCGAAGCAGAAACGGAGATCACTCACAGAGATTTACGTGGTTTCCTTGATCGGTGTGATCAAGACTAGTCCACGGCCGAAGCTATCAACTCTCGTATTAACATAGCTTCAATGCAGGTTTAGGATACAATATATATAAACTCCTAATCCTAGCCGAGATGAGATGGATAATCGGCCAGAGAAGAGTCTCTCTAAACTAAGGCCTACAACTACTCTATACTAATACAATGGGCTAAAGCCCTTACGAAATCTATAACTCAACAGCCTCACCCAAATTGATGGAGGTCTCGCATCATCAATTTGCCAGCGATTTAGTAGTGTTGGCTAGTAGTCAAGCTCGCCCAGGTGAAGATTGGCAAGCTCAACTTCGAGCTCAAACTGGCGATTGGCGCTGGTTGCAGAGTACATAGCGGCGAGGGATTTCCACATATCCGTCGCGGTAGGAAGAAGACGCAAACCGATAACGATCAAGGGATCAACTGAGTTCATGATCATGGAACGGACCCGAGCATCGTTCTGAATCCACTTTAGGACGTTTGCCTCGGTCGACGACGACATCGTGGGTTTGACAGAGGTGCCATCAAGCAATCTGAAAAGCTCTTTGCCCTCGATGAAAACACAAAATTGGAACTCCCATAAAGAAGAGTTCTTGGAGTTCAGGCGAGTAGTAATCCGATCGGATTCCAAACTGGTGAGCTCTGATACCATGTTAACTTACGTAGCGGAGAATAATCGAAACAGAAATGGAGATCACACACAGAGATTTACGTGGTTTCCTTAATCGGTGTGATCAAGACTAGTTCACAATCGAAGCTATCAACTCTCGTGTTAATTTAGCTTCAATGCAGGTCCATGATACAATATATATAAACTCCTAACCCTAGCCGAGATGAGATGGATAATCGGCCAGAGAAGAGTCTCTCTAAACTAAGGCCTACAACTACTCTATACTAATACAATGGGCTAAAGCCCATACGAAATCTATAACTCAACATTTGGAACCAATGAAACCTACTTTCATGTCTACATGTATTTGAATTGTTGGGAGGATACCACCACAAGTGTGGCATCGACTTTGCTTCAAGTAGTAAAAGGAGGATTGAGAGTTTGCCAGCCTGCCTATTTTACCCCATTGGTTCCAAACACAGGGAGAATATTTGCACACTAAGATGCTTTAAGAAACCAACATGCAACATTAACATCCAACCAGGACTAGCCAAATGCTTATTTTTTGTGAATAATTCGGATTCCATCCCTACACTTGTTAAGATACTTTTTCGGATTTCGTTTGTTACTAATGTTGTTGTATAGTCGACTATACCAACAATTCGGATACGATCCCTACACTTGTTAAGATAATACTTCATCAACCACAACATTTTAAAAAAAAAATTCATAGTGCACAACATGAATTTAACTTGTGTTATGAATCAACCACCAGAAAGTCGATAACCAAAATTTTGTATGAGGACTCCCAATCAAGTGGCAATCTAAAGTTACATGATGCCCCCTAATGGAGCACACGATCTTACGTAAAGTTAGCAAGCACAATATTTAACATGGGTGGCTTGGATCTCCACTTGGTAGTCATCATATGACAAATCGCAACAATGTATATGACGGTTTGATGTTTGAGACATGCCATTTTTTAAAATAGTTCTTTGATAAGGTTCAGAGGAAAAAGGTCACAAGAAGCTACACAACCAACTGCGAAAATCGATCAATAGACGAACTATCGATAAATTGACTCAATGAGTATACATAAATAAGCGTCCGTAAAATGTAAACGAAATGAAAAAAAAGGACATATGTGGAAACTTTATAGATCTAAAGTAGCCTCTGAAAATTATAATGGTAAATTATTAGCTCCAACAATAAGAGGGACTATTTTGTAAATTTCGGATTTAATAACATTTTAGAATAAGCTTGGTGTATTACTGTTACTGCTTACTTGTTCATGAGTGAACTGGCTATTGGCTGTCCTTTTCGTTTTTTATTTTCTTCTTCCCAAATCCCAATCCTATAAGCCACAAAAATGGAAAATAAAAAGGGTTAATACCCTAATTTGGCCCGAAGTTTAGCGTTAGTGACAGTTTTTGGCCCATTTTCTAAATAAGACGTTTATGACCTACTTTTGAAATTATTGGACAAATTTGGCATATAGGAATGTTTGACCGTCAGAATTAACGGTCAACCATTTAGACCGTTAATGACTCAGCTTTCACCGGTGACTAGACTCATCCACGTCATTTGAAAATTAAATAAAAACAAAACAAAAGGAATGGTCCACCACAATAAAACTTTCCCTTTAATTCCTTATCCCCTTTCTTCCTCTTCGTCGTCTCCTCCCCACCCAGCCTGATCGAGACTCCGAACAGAATCGAGGCAAGCCCGATGGCGAACCCGACCTAGGGAAGACGGTCCGCTTGAACTCCGACGACGACCACCGCCACTCCTACTCCTCTGACTCCCATGCGCACTGTCAGACTTCTGCTGGCTTCCATCGTTTGGCGGTGAGATAGCTCAACGGCGGAGATCCCCTGAGGAGAGGAGTTTGCGGCGGAGACGACGGGCAGAGGAAGAGACTGAGAAAGCCAATCTAGTCTCTATAGCTAGTGGAGCCGGAGGGGGAGCATTCTATATGGGCGAATATCTGTTCACGGGAGAGAAAGCTAAAAGGGGGAAAAGTTCTGAATCGTTGGAAAAATGCAGATTCATTTGCGCAAGACAAAATTGTCAAAATTGAAGGTATATTGGGATGGGGGATATGTGGAATGATGATGGGATGTCATAAAAGTCGTTGAGAATCATATGTGGGGGTGGTACGTGAACTGCAGGTTTTCCCGGCGGCAGGCCTTCTTTCCCCCGCCAATGGCGTCAAGGGCTATGCTCGCAAACTGCGGATAGAAGTGGTCGCCGTGGGGTCGAAGTCCAAGTCGCAGATCGTGTGGGCGGGGATGATCTCGAAAATCCCCAACTGCTTCGTCATCTCCGGCGCGGTCGCTGTGGGGAGCCTTTGAAGCTGCAGTGACTTCCTCGGACGCGGTGCGGCGCCGGCTGGACGGTGGGGAAGATAAAGAAGAAGCTGCCGCGAGTGTTTAGATAAGGAGGCCGCATATAGATTTAGGGTTTGGTTGGAGTTTTGGGATAAGAGGGGATTTCTTTAATTTGTTAAATTTGAATTTTAATTGAATTATAAAATTAAAATAATATTATTTAATGATGTGGCATGCCACATCAGCTGTTTTTTTCTGAATCACTGACGGAATAGTGTTTGACCGTCAATATTAACAGTCAAAGAAAATTCCGGGCCAAGTTTGTCCATTAATTTCAAAAGTTGGCCATAAACGTCTTATTTGAAAAATGGGGCCAAAACTGTCATTAACGCTAAACTTCATGCCAAACTAGGGTATTAACCCAAATAAAAAACCACTTGCTTGCCTCTCTCTCTGTCTCAGCTCGTGCTTAACACTGTCATCACGACTGGCAACCGACAAGAGTCCAAAAACCAATATCCGCGTCTCCCCCAAAATTCACAGTAGACTGTTTACGCTTTAGACACGCTCTCTTCCAATTCTTCATTTCTTAAAAAGAACTACTCAATCGCCAAACTAGCCGTTCTCTCTCTCTCTCTCTCTCTCTGAGCTTCTAACTGCTTCTCTGCTTCCTGTAGCTGAAATTATGTAAAGAAAAGTTAAAGAACAAAGCTCAAGTTCAAGCTAATTTCTGGGTTTCGTAGATTTAGCAGTAGGGAAAGAGAGATACAGAGAAGGAAATGGCTACGTGCAGGGTATTTGCTGCTGTGTTCCTCGTCCACATTTGGGTGCTAGCAAGCTTATGCTCAGCTGGAGATCCATACGTTTTCTACAACTTTGAGGTGTCTTACATTACTGCTTCACCTCTTGGCGAACCGCAGCAGGTTAGTTCCGCCCCTTCCCTTTTAGATCTTTCTGTTTCTCCTTTGCCCCTTTCTTTCTCTTTTTTGCTACATTACTCATTTTAACTTTACCCTGGCCTTTGATTCTGCTCAAGTTCGTTCCTTTTGAGTAGTGGGTATGCTTTAGATTGTGGAAAGTTTCCGCCTTTATATCCAGATCTGCTAAATTTGGTTCAACACTAGCCGCTCAAGCTGCGATATTACTTATTCTGAGCTTATTTTAGCAGCAAGGGTTTTAGCATTTTGTGTTTTTGTTTGCAGGTTATTGCTGTAAATGGCAAGTTCCCAGGCCCTACTGTAAACGTGACCACCAACGACAACGTGGTTATCAATGTTAGGAACAAATTGGATGAACACCTCCTTTTGCATTGGTATAAAACCCCTTCACTTCTGTTTTCTGGGTTCTCAATTTCTGTTGAAATGTCGGATTCTAGTGTTATAATATGAGGAATTGAGCACTTTTTCCTATGTTCGTGATTAGGTCTGGAATTCAGCAGAGGAGAAGTTCATGGCAAGATGGGCTTCCTGGCACAAACTGCCCAATTCCACCAAAGTGGAACTGGACTTATCAGTTTCAGGTCAAAGATCAAGTTGGGAGCTTCTTTTACTTCCCTTCGCTCAACATGCAGAGATCTTCTGGTGGATTTGGAAGCTTCATTATCAACAACCGAGCCGTCATCCCGATTCCTTTTGATACGCCACATGGAGACATTGTCATTACAATTGGTGATTGGTACAAGAGGAATCACACGGTGACTGCTTGTTTAAGTTTTGGAAGAAGAATTCGTAGTTGGCTTCTCGATTAAGATTCTGACACAATTCTTTTGATTGTAGGCTTTGAGGAGGGCCCTTGATGCAGGGAGAGATCTGGGGATGCCAGATGGAGTTCTTATCAATGGCAAAGGCCCCTACCAATACAATACAACCTATGTTCCGGATGGCATTGACCATGAAACAATCACAGTTCAGCCAGGTGACTCCATTGTTCTTTGTTATGGATTCTTGCACTGCTAAATTTGCCAGAATAGGCAGTACTGCATTAGTAGTTCATTTCTTAAGAAGTTGAGTCCTGAGTGCATTTCGATTCGATATTCTGTATTATGTGTATCATTTGCACTGCTAGATATCTCTGACTATGTAAGTTATGCTGCTCTCGCTTGGCGTTTGAATGGATTATTACTTGAAGCGATATGACTGTATTTAAGACCAGCATTGTGCTAGGGGTCGAGGATAGGAATTTACCTACAGATAACTTTCTACTTGTTTATTTTGAAAATGGAGGTCTTTCCAACTAACCTTGTTGCTTGTTACAGGAAAAACATACCGAGTTAGAGTTCACAATGTCGGAGTATCGACCAGCTTGAATTTCAGGATCCAGAACCACAACATGCTCTTAGCAGAGTCAGAAGGGTCATACACAGTTCAACAGAACTACACTAGCTTGGATATACATGTTGGACAGTCCTATTCTTTCCTGGTCACCATGGACCAGAATGCAAGCAGTGATTACTACATCGTGGCAAGCGCCAGAATGGTCAATGAGACAACATGGAGAAGGGTGACTGGTGTCGGCATCTTGCATTACACCAACTCCAAAGGGAAAGCAAGTGGTCCCTTGCCCGCTGCGCCTCAAGATGAGTTCGATAAGACTTTCTCCATGAACCAAGCTCGATCGATAAGGTGGAATGTTTCTGCGAGTGGAGCTCGTCCCAACCCGCAGGGCTCATTCAGGTACGGTTCGATCAACGTTACGGAGGTGTATGTGCTGAAGAACACGCCGCCAGTGCAGATTAATGGGAAGAAAAGAGCGACGCTTAGTGGGATATCATTTATCAATCCTGCTACTCCAATTAGGCTTGCTGATCAGTTCAAAGTGAAGGGAGTTTATAAACTAGACTTCCCGAATAATCCGCTTACTGGACCACCCAAGTTGGAGACTTCAGTCATTAACGGCACGTACAGAGGTTTCATGGAGGTCATTCTTCAGAACAACGAGACCAGGATGCAGAGCTATCACCTTAGTGGATATGCTGTTTTTGTTGTCGGGTAAGTATCCACAAATGTCTATTCGTAGTAGCCAAATGACACCTTACTTTCCTTTCTCATTGGCTGCTCTTGATCATTTCTTTCCTCCAGGATGGACTATGGAGAATGGTCTGAAAACAGCAGGGGCACCTACAACAAGTGGGATGGCATTGCCCGCACAACTGTGCAAGTAATGTGCCAATCAATCAAATAAACTTCATATATCATTCATGTCTGGTGATCATTCTGATGTTAACTTGCTAATCACAAATTGGAACTCATTGCTGACAGGTTTACCCTGGAGCATGGACAGCAATCCTGGTATCGCTCGACAACGTTGGAGTCTGGAACCTGCGATCGGAGAACCTGGACTCATGGTACCTCGGACAAGAAACGTATGTGAGAGTTGTGAATACCGAGGAGACGAACAAGACCGAGTTCCCCATCCCTGATAACGCACTCTTCTGTGGAGCCCTTAGCAAGATGCAGAAGTATGCATCTAAATACCATTTCTTTCTCCCCTTCTCTACAGTTATTTCCTGCTCCAGCCTCTTTATCTCTACATTGTCTCTTATCTATCTTCCCAATTGCAGGCCACAAGACATCTCTTCTGCAGCAAGACTGCTCATCAAAGGCAGCAACTTTAGCCTACTGATCACATTGTTGTACTTGGTATCTGCGGCAATCTCCATCTTCAGTTGATTTTGCTTCGAGAAGTCGGGAGTCTATCTAGTCTAGTCTGGTATTCGGTGTGCTTGATTGAGGGCTTGTTTTGTTCATGGCGGTCTGCAGGGTTAGTTGAGACTCAAGAGTGGGGATTGAGGGGTCTGTAAGTTCTAGTGGGTGGGTGTTGATAACAAAAGATGTTAAATTTCCTATTATTTTTCAGGGATCTCCATGAATTTTTTACTTGTAATTTGTCCTAGCTTCTTTCATTTATTGGGATCTGTCTATTCTTTTAAATCAAATGCAGGTAATCTATGTATTCATTCATTCCCAACACTTCGAATTACATCGTCAAATATCGGCTTCCTTCCCGCGGCTGTAGCTTTTTCGGCAGGCAGGCACTTCATTGAATATTCATACCTTCTTTCTTGGTGGGGTAAGAAGATCACTCACTGCCCTCCCCCACTCCAACGGGTATATTATATATACTAGTTTGGTACCCGGTTCGTTGGCCGGGTAAATTTTGTTGGCCGGGTAAATTTTGTTTGAAATATGTACTTTGGTGTTTTTTTCATCCTAAGGTGTCTATTTTGTTCAGTCTGTCATGTCCTCTCTCATTCTGAATCTTGTATACCTTTGAGTCCGACCAGTTGGCCGCTAAATGATTTTTTTAAGATAAATTAGTTTGTACCGCACGATAATATTTAGCACCCATGAAATTGTTGTGCATTATTATTATGATATTAAAAAATTAGACATTGATATAATTAACTCAGTAGAATAAGAAATTTGTTATGCGATCTATGTTAGTATATACTTTATGGCGGTACAATCGAATGATATTGATATAGTTTTGCAACTATCGAATAGGAACATGCCTTGTAAATATATGATTGTGGCTATGTTTTAAAAAAAACATATATTAAAATGGGTATCCTTGTGTAGATCACATAAAATCTGATTTTTTTGCGCAATAATATTTAAATTCGGAGTTGAAACGAAATAAATATGGATCAATTAAGAATAGTAGGGGAGATTGAAAAAGAATAGAGAGAGAGAGAGAGAGAGAGAGAGAGAGAGAGAGAGAGAGAGAGTTAAGTGGCACATTCTAATTGGGGAATAGAAAAAATTAAAAGAAAAAAAAGGAGTTAAGAAAAAATGTGATTGGTCGGAAGGGTGCTGACGTGGATGCGTAGGAGGGCTGGAATTTTGAAATGGTGAAGGTAGTTTTTGGAAAAGCCTTTATATATTTTATAGATAGATATACTAACGGCTCTTTCATTCCTCCAAGAGCATTGGACCACATTTTCTTTCATTCCTCCAAGAGCATTGGACCACATTTTATAGAGGCAGAGTGGGATGGACATAGATTGACGAACACTTAAATGAATATCGAAAATAAAAAAATTATAAGTGCAATACTAGATTTGATCCAGATGAGAGCTGGGCCACGACCCGAGGGTGGCCCCCTGGATCCGCCGCTGATTCTTCTTACTTCTCTATAAATACCACATCATTTCTCCACTTCCACTTCTATCATCGCAAAAAATTTCTACACCTCCACTTCTTATCAAATTTTAAGCCCCAGCAGCCCCCTTCCACCATTGGATGGGTCTTCATCGGTTCCATCCGGCGAAAGTGATAGCCCCGACGTTCGATCAACTATGTCTCCTTTTTGCGACCAATCGTCCCGAATGTCGGAATAAGCAGAAGAGGAAGAAAAGAGGAGTTCCGGATTCTTTCATGAAGGCTTGGGAAAAGAGTATGACCCAATTGGTGGCAAATTCAAACACACACGCAAGGATAGCACTCCCTAGGGATGAACGCGAAAGTGCGAGAGAAGCAAGAGATGAGCACAAGCACTAGATAATGAGTATGAATATTTCTCAATACAGTCCTCGAACTAGATGTTGGTATCAAAAGCAAAGAGATGTTATTTTGGCTTCGTACCAAGTCGAACCAAATTCAATCCCCGGAGGATCCAACTATAGCCTATATGATGACACTTACGCCCCTGATGCGTAATATGTTAAGTTGTTTGATTTGTTGTAGATGTATGCTTTTATTTAATTGTTAAGTTGGGTTGATTTGTTGTTGATGCATGCTTTTATTTTATTGTGTTTCTATAACTACTATGGTTTTATGGTTGATGTATATATTTATTTCGAGTGTATATTTTCCCCCAATTACTAACGCAACTATGTTCTTTGTTTGAACTCTACAATTTGAAGTATCCATAAAAATACATATCATGAATCTATGATCATCTGAACCAGTTATTGTGTTTTGTCATTCATAACACTATACTTAGAAACACAGTTTTCACTTCAAAAGATCGTCTTAGTATATTATTATCTATATAAAAAAAATCTATACTATACCACACTCAGACAAAAAATAAAAGATATGACCAAAATTTCAGCCCTACTCTATTGGAGCAGAGTACTTAATAGTAGATCTAAGGGGTCGTTTGGAAGTTGGAAATCTTTGAATGAATGCATTACAATAATTCATAAATCTTTGAATGTAAGCATCCCAAATAGAATTATTGTACGAAACAAATGATTCCAAAGAATTTAATGTTTGGTTGTTATGATTTTCACATTTGAATAAAATGAATGATTGTAACTTTATTCAAGAGAAAGACTTCAATATCTCTAAGGATAAGTTCCGTGCTCCAAGGAATTTGCTGAAAGTCGGAGTCGTGCTCGCCCCTGAGTAGTCTCGTCACAATTATTGTCTCGACTTATAGTGTCTCACATGTTTTTGTTGAAATATGGCAAGTCTGATTTGCCGATTCTCAGACCATTGCAGGATGCTCCAAAAAGGAGAAGTGCATCAATCATGCAAATCAAGAGCTTCTCTCCAACGGCTAGCTTCGGTGCTCTATATATTCAGAGGAAGTCTTTTGTATCATTCACTTTTGTATGAATCAAGCTAGTGGTATAGGTTTGAGCTTTGATTTACAGAAGGGTGGTCAGTATAGGGGTAGAGGTTCTATACTATGGTGGCAGAACGGACCGGGTTGTGATCCGGGGAGTTTTCATTACCTGTTAATCTTTCTGTTTGTCTTGAGTCTGTATTCGTTTTATTTCAATTTTGCTTGATAGGAAAATCAATAAAAAGAGTCTCCTAGAACTCAGTGGGTACTGAGTCTAGGACGAGGAATGACCAGTAGTTGGGAACCTCGTTAAAATTCGATTGTGTCTCTTCCTTTATGCTGTTCTCTCTTTCTGCATTTGCATTTGTTCTGTGTTGCTCTGTTTTCATAGCTTACCAGAGACTCTGTTTTTAAGGTTGTTGACCAAGGAAGATGATAGGCTCTGGTCCTCTTAGTTTATTTGTCTAGGCCTGCTTTTCATAAGCCCATTTCCGTTTAACTTTTACTTTCTTCGACTAGTGGGATTTTTTTTGCCCGGAGCCCATACTTAAAGGGAAACCATATTGAGAAGAAACAACATTATGTGTTTCTTTAGTTCAATCAAATTCTCATTTCCCTTTCTTCACTTTGCTCTTCGCAAGAACCCTAGTCCATCCCTGCATTTTTTTTATTTCAATTGGTATCAGAGCTCTACCTTGACGAAGCTCACTGCTGCCAAGGTAAACGATCCAATGGCGTCAAGCTAGTTTGGTCAAGCCACTCTCAACCATCCTACTTTCACAGGGTCAAACTACACAGCCTGGAAAAGAGGATGAAGCAATTCATGCGGGGAGTAGAAGAAGAGCTGTGGTTGATTGTCCAAAACGAACCCATTCAGATGGACATAGAAGAACAACAAACTTAGTCAGCAGCCCAGAAGAAAAGCGCACAACTGGATCAAAGGGCGATGCACGTGCTTCAGTCGACAATGAATCCAAATGAAGCAGACCAAGTCAAGAATTGTGAAACGACAAAAGAAATTTGGGCAGCTCTTGAAAGTACTTATGAAGGTACCTCTAATATCAAAGAATCCCGTATTGATTTATTGATGCATGAATATGAGTTGTTTAACATGCTAGATGGTGAGGGAATACATGAAATGTATTCTCGGTTCACTGTTCTTGTTAATAAATTAAAAGGATTAGGAAGGTCGTTTCAAAGTAAGGATTTAAATCGCAAAATTCTTAGATCCTTACCTAAGGAATGACTTCCAAAACGAACTGCCATTGAAGAAGCTAAGAATCTGTCTACTTTGCCTATTAATGAACTGATAGGATCTTTACTCAGTCATGAACATGTTCTTAAGCAGGTAGGGCAAGAGGATGAGAAAAGAAAGAAGAACTTAGCCTTTAAATCCAGAATTGTTGATTGTGATTGTGATAGTGAAAGTGAATTTGATAAAGAGTTTGCGCTTGTTAGCAAGAAATTTCATCGAATGCTAAAATATAAAAATGATCAGAAACGTTATTCTAATGAATCAAAACCTGTATATTATGATCATAACAAAAGTGGCTATCAAGAAAGGCTGCCTCAACAACAGACCAGATTTTTTGAGACATGTTAGCAAGTAGGGATGGCAATGGGGCGGGTTTGGGGCGGGTTTGCTTAAACCATCCCCATACCCATCTTCAAATACCCAAACCCGTACCCGCCCCATACCCAGTGCGGGGAATGTTTTGCAAACCCATCCCCATACCCGTGGGTTTCGGGTACCCATGGGTAATACCCATACCCGTACATCCAACATTATTATACCTAAAACTTACAAGAAAAGTTCTAATTATAATTCTAAACGAACATATTATATCATGAAGTCAACAAAACACGGTCATTTTTTTAATATGGTTCAAAGATTATGATCCTAAAATATCCATTAATACATAATATAGAGTATAATATTTTTCAAATTATTATGTTCTAACTATGATACATCTACTAAATAATAATTAACTAACATAATCTTGTTGACAAGGGGGAAAGTGAATGAGTGAAAAAGAATTGAGAGAAATGAATTAGATTTTGATTAAGGTGGTCAATCAATTGCATTTCTACTATTTATTTTCTCAAGTTATCATCATCATCGTTGATAGATTATAATTTGATGCACATATTTTTTTATATATGAAGAAATTATCTTGATGGGGCGGGGGATGCTAAAACCATACCCGCCCCATACCCATCAAACTTTTTGCGGGTTTTACCCATATACCCGCCCCATACCCGGTCAAAGCGGGGATTCCCCGCGTTGACTGGGTCGGGGGCGGTCGGATACCCGCGGCCATGGGTTTGATTGCCATCCCTATTAGCAAGACAGGGAATCTCAAGCATGCTACAAATGCGGAAAATTTGGCCATATCAGGGCTCAATGTCCTCAAACATTAAGAGCCAAGGAGAA